GTTCTGTAGAACCTTCTAATTTTTCAGATTAATATCAGTTGCTCCTATTTATTTATTAATTCAAATTTGATAAACATAGCTTAGTTTCATTTTATATAAGCACAAGTATTCTCATTTAGCAAAATGGAAAAATGGGTCTCAAAGTTCTCACAACTATGAATTAGAATTTATACCCAGATTGTATTTCTCTATGGTTGATATTCTTTCTGTTACATACACTGCCTTTCTGTAGAAGTCATGTCTACATTGTTTTGATGATAATAAATATTAAATAATGTATTATAATTTTACTTAATATTATAATGACATATTAAGTACTAAAGCTTTGGTAGCAAATGTTCAAAGCTAAGGTATGAGCTCATTTAACCATCACAACAGCTGGACGAATGGAGGCTGTTGCTCATTTTATAGATGAGGAAACAGATTTAGAGATATTAAGGAATTTGCTAAAGTCATACAGATGATAAATGGTAGAACTAAAAGAGGAACAGAGTACTACTTCCTTTTAAATTCTGCCCTAAAATACTAATGGATGGCACCATCTCTCATCTGTCACCATATGAGGCAATATTTTTTGTTTACTTGGTTTTTTTATCTATCTTCCCCAATAGAATATAAAAACTGTGATAGAGGAACTTACTCTTTCTCGAAATCCTAGATCTTGGGACAGTACCTGCTCATCATAATGTGATTTTTTTTAGATGAATAAATACATGAATCTTTCCTAAAAACCACAGATATTCTCCTTTGTAATTTAAATCTCAAGTGTCTAAGGGCTCCTGGGTGGCTCAGGTGGCTAAGTGTCCAACTCTTGATTTTGGCTCAGGTCATGATCTCAGGGTTATGAGAAAGAGCTGCTTGATGTTAGCTGTAATTATTATTCTCCTACCTACTGTTGTATTTTCCATAGGAATGTTATAACACAAATATACATCAGTCATTTTACAGTATCATCTCCAATCCTTCCAGCTTTATCAGTGAAAGAAGGGATGCAGCCAAAAGCAAAGTGGGTCTTGGAGCAATTATGATGCTTACTTTCATGAGCCTTCTTGGTGAGAATTGAAAACAAAGAAAAAGCTTCTAAGTTACTGGAATAGTGATTTGTGAAGTACTTGTGTTTACTAAGACCATCTTACTCATATTTTGCAGACATTTTAAAAATAATTCTCTGTTTTGAGGCTTTCAACCTATAGCTAATAAAGGAGACTGTTTTTATTATTTTTATTTTTTTAAATAATTTTTTATTGTTATGTTAATCACCATACATTACATCATTAGTTTTTGATGTAGTGTTCCATGATTCATTCTTTGTGCATAACACCCAGTGCTCCACGCAGAATGTGCCCTCTTTAATACCCATCATCAGGCTAACCCATCCCCCACCCCCCTCCCCTCTAGAACCCTCAGTTTGTTTTTCAGAGTCCATCGTCTCTAATGGTTCGTCTCCCACTCTGATTTACTCCCCTTCATTCTTCCCCAAGGAGACTGTTTTTAAAGACTCCATGTTCTAGGAGCTGAGTCAGAGAACTTGCATTGGGCTGTCTTATTTAATCTTTGCAAACCACTGTAAGGAAGCATATTAGTTTTTTATTGCTGTATCTAATTACCACAAATTTAATGGCTTAAAACAATACAAATTTATTTTCTTACAGCTGTGGACGTCAGAAGTCCTGAATTGGTTTATAAACTGGAATAAAATCAAGGTGTAGCAGGCCTGGACCTTGTAGGGAGAATCTATTTCATTTCTAGAGGTAGACTCTATGTTCTGGCTTGTGGTCCCTTTCTCCATCTTCAAAGCGCATCACTCCAGATCTGCTCCCAACTTTTTTATCTTACTTACTCCCACTTATAAGGATTCTTAGATTACATTGGGCCCATCTGGATGATCCAGGATAATCACATCTCAAGATCCTTAATTTAGTACCATTCACACATTCCCTTTTAACATGTATAGTAACTTATTCACAGATGCTGGGGATGGGACTTAACATCTTTGGGGGCAGGGAGTTTCAGCCTACCAGAGGTGGATACCATTATGCTTATTTTGCAAATAAGAAAAAAAAAGGAGTGATTATGAACTCTTAATACGCTGAGAAAGAAAATTCAAAAAAGCTGACTAACTCAAACTCACAAAACTTAAAAGTGATCACCAACATACTAACGTAGGTCCTTCTGATCCTAATGCTGTTTCCACTACACAATTCTGTCCCTGAAGTAGGAAAAAAGACAAAGGATGGGTTTCCTCCTTATTTGTAGATATTTTTCATTTTTTTTGAGTTAAAATATTTACTAAATGTTTATTGAATGGCTATTATACCAATTTTCGGTGCTAGGAAGAAATATGAATCAGACTGAGTCAGTAGCTAGATAATCACAAATTTTCCCATATATTTAAATACCTATAACTCTTCAGTCTATCTTGAGAGTCCCAACCAAATTCAACTACCTAACTGGAAGTTTCACTGCCATGTTCGATAAACCTTTGCAATTTGCCATGTCTGGAACTGAACTCTTGAATTTTTTTTTATTTCTACAACTATGTTCAATCCCTCAGTCTTCACCAGCTCAGGAAACAGCACCACCATACTCCCCCACAACGGATCAGTATTCAGATGCCTATATTTATTTTAAAAATATATCCTAATCCTATTTACTTCTCCTTATTTTCATTACCCCCAGACTTCTGACTGGTAGCTTCATTTCCATTCTCGGATTGCCTTGATCTCATCTCTATACATAAACCGGCATGATCTCATTAGAACATAAAATACTTCAATACCTACGGTGTATTTATAATAAAATCCAAACTTTTCATGCCACACAGGGTTACCACACATCTGGTTCTGTTTAGGACATTGGTATGCCTGCTGTCTTGGTGGAACTAGTGATAGAGCCTTCTTTCACTCCTAAAATTGTCCCAGTTGGATGATAAATTACACGGTCACCATATCCATCGGGTTCTTGTGGAATCTTTCCTCTGCCTCAATTTTCCTCCCATAAGCAAACTCTTCTCTCCTAGGACTCAATAGGGTCTGCCTTAAGTCTCTCCTGTAATTATTTTTCTTCAAAATATGAACCAAAGAATTAAGTATAATCCTATACTTAATTGTTTTATCTGTTGACTGTTCATGCCATTAAAGACAACCAGGCCCACACCCACGATATTTGCCCCTAAACACTTTAGGCAGCATAATACCTGACACATGGGAGGTGTCTACAGATATTTATTAAAAGGTTAATGACTAAATAAACTTGCCATATAGTCAGATAGTTATATAAACACATAGTATAACATTTACATAATAAAAATTTGTTCAAGATACCAATGACCAAAACCAATACAGAAGCAGAAGAAGTTGCTTCTCTTTGGAGAAAAAGGTTGAGTAGGGAAGGTGCTGTAAGGGGAGGAAGCCCAATCAGTGTTGACGGATGGAAAAGATCACGTTATGTGATCAAGAAGCTATGAGGAAAGATTTCTAAGTAGAAAGCTGGCATTCACAAAGGCAAAATGGATTAAAACAGTGTGATTATTCTGGGAACTCAAAGTAGTTTCTATTACTAGGGTGTACAGCCTTGCATAAATGATATATTAATGTCACGAATCCCTAAGGACAAAACCTAAATTATGAAGAACCCTGCAGGAAACATATAGAACAGCAAAGAAATTTGAAACTTAGTTTTGTTTTCATCTATAGTGCTAGGATGATTTGAAAACTTCTATTGCCTGTTTAGCTCACCTTATAATTCATAGAAGTTTAGATATGTAAATCAGTTTTTGAAGAGCTGTATTTCAAACTTCATTACCATAAAAAATCCTCTAAGTTGTGAGTTTGTTATATAATTGTCAAAAAATTATAAAAATGGTCCATAAGGAAACTATGAGATTTATGGTATATAAAACTAAACTGGGCCTTTCCCTCAGATAATTTTTTTGGGTTAACATTTCTACTTTGGGAAATGAATTTTCATTCATTCTTAGACTGTAAAAAGAAATAGCCTGGAATTACTAAATTAACATTTGGCATTTATATTATACAAATGCAAAGATGAACACATCTGTAGAATTAACCAAACATTAGGTCAAATTTTGATGTAAATAAAAGTTGAAATAGAGAATTAAAACTCGTCTCAGATCTATTTACCTAGGAGAAAATTTTCAAGAAATATTCTTGGTATAGATAATCATAAATGGGTTCTTTGAATATAAAAAATGTACACCAGAAATTTCACACTGGTGGACAGCAGGACATAAACGCTTCGTTTGGCTTCCAGAACAATTCAAAAGTTTGAGCCAAGATTTAAATTTGGAGAAGTCACATAGAAAAAAAAATCCAGAATTCTGGCCCCTCTGAAAAACTGGAAGAGCTCATAACTCTGGTGGGAAAAAACCACAGTCCTATAGAGGGCAGTAGGTGTCCTCTAACCACCACACAGCCACATCCCCATCACCCCAGGTGCTGAAATCCATGCCACTTCCCTTATGTATGTTACATGACATGCCTTGTACCAAAAAACCCCAACCATTAAAGACTAATTGAGAATTATCAAAATGTCTAGGAAAATATTTAGAACTTGATCATCTGTAATACTGAGAACTGAATGTACATACCATCTTAATAAAATCCTCTAAAAATGGAACAATTCAGAATTCAATCTTGGCTTTCTTGGATTTTGTTTGTAATTTAAATTATATAAAAAAATAAAAAGCCAATCAAATTTGGTATAATATCTTTTTTTTTTTTCTCCTGACCAGTAAGTTATTTATTTTGGCATCTGGTCCATATAACACAATTAGCAGTAAAATAATCCAAAGATGTTTAACATGTGTTTAATCTGTGCTTTGAATGCAAATACTTCCAAATATCTTCCAATATAGCAAAAGAAATTTATTTTATTTAAGTATATTAAAAGATTAGACATGTTTTCAATATCCATACTATTCTAGAATAGGAGAAAGAAAGCCAGGAGAGTTATTTCCATGGGAAGTGATGGGCACTTACCTTAGCTATCTGGACACACCAGTTAAGCAGCAGCTGGGATCCAATGTTATCCTTGTGTTCATGGACATAATCCAACAGGCAGCCATGGGGCATAAGCTGTGTAACCAGCTGAATGGTTGGGCTCAGACACACACCCAATAACCGGACTAAGTGTGGATGGTCCATACTTGCCATGATCAAAGCTTCCTATAAAAAATTAATAAATAACACCATCAATTCAACTCAAATTTCTTTATAGCACAATATTAATGGTGCTGATCATAATTTTGAAAATGTATTCTCATTCAACAGAATCAATTAAAAATGAAAAGACATTAATGCAGCTATTATATTCTTAAAGTGATTTAACTCAAGTAAAATAAGTGAAAAAGACTATACTTTTGTTAAAATGGAAAATGTTATAGAATTAAATGCATATAAAATTCATAGTGTTTTCTCTTTTGTAATATAGTCAATATTTGATTTTATTTACTGCTAAGTTAGTTGATATTGAATCCTAGCTTATACTGTGGATTTTTAACTTTTGATCTTTAGTTCTAGAATACAATAATCTATACAAATGCAGTTATTTTCACATAGTATAAGGTGACCCAAAGTTAAGTCATCCATTATTAGTGTGGATTTAGAGAGCATACACAGGTGTAATTTATAAATTATAAATATCAAAATTTAAACAATTATAAGCAATATGCCATTGTGGATTTATGTAGAAAAATAAATCTTTTAATAAGACATTTTGCTCCATAACTTTGTCTTTACTTAAATTTATTTCATTTCCAAAATTATAAGTGATGCATTATTCATAGAATTATAAAATTTGAAAGCTAAGGGAGACTATAAAAAATTGTCTACTCCAACTTTATCATTTCATAAAATGAGAAAACAGCTCTAATTTCTTTATAATAATCATGTCACTTTGGTTTAATGAAGATAAAATTGGACATATGATAGGTATTTAGTACATCTTAAAGTTAGCCTCCAGTTAAAAGTTATTTTAAGTATCTTTACTGCAATTTGAAACAGGACCTTACACACACACACACACACACACACACAGGGGGTGGCACATATATGGTAATTTATTATCAATCAGTTTACACTGAAGCCATGAGAATGTTTATTGTAGCATTCTTGAATATTTTCTATAACTTTGAAATTTTTCAAAACAAAAAATTGTGCATAGAAAGCTATATTGACCTTTGGTTTAAGATGGCATGGCAGATTGAATACACAAATTTACTTCCATTTCCTCTCAATTCCACTATACTAAGCAATAAAGTAATTAATCAAGAGGCCGACACCAACAGTCATAGGAGGCAATAAAGATAGAATAATAAGAGTAGGAAGTGGCTTACTAGTTGTAACTAATTTTGCATATGTATGACATCTGAAGCCTAAGGTAGCAGGTAGGGAAACAGAGAAGAAATCCAATTTATACCACCTGTGTACACCACCAAAGGCTCAAGTACTGTTAGCACCACAAATTTCTGCAAATGGAGCAGGAGGGAGAAACTTAACGTGAGCAGGATTGTTTCAAAGTGTATTTAGGAGGCACCTAAGACTACAGATCTCCTCCCCTCCATCAAAAGGATTGTGGACTATGGATATGAGGCAAAATGGAAAGAGAAGTACTCTGGGGATAACAGTAGGGTTATGTAAATTTATATACGGAGAAAATTGGGGCCACCTTCCAGTTCCTTCTCCCAAATGGAGCTGTGACTTCAAAATTCTGAAGCTTAAATTGTTTAAACCTCAAATTCCAAATCCAGCAAAATTTCAGTTAAGTGAGTGGATATACAGACATGTTCAGGCATGTCTGTTCTTAAACAGCTTATCTCAGGGGGTGCCTGGGTGGCTCATTCAGTTGAGGGTTGGACTACTGGTCTTGGCTCAGCTCATGATCACAGGGTCATAACATCAGGCCTGGCATTGGGCTCTGTGCTCAGCAGGGAGTCTGCTTGAGATTCTCTCCCTCTGCCCTCCCGATTCACGCTCTCCCTCTCTCTCTCTCTCAAATAAATAAATCTTAAACACACACACTTATGTCACATACTTCCTTTCTCTGTTAGATGTGTTCATTAAATAAGAGGGGGCAGTTAAAAGAGTACATTTAATTGAAGAAACAAAAAATGACAGTGAAGGGATATTCCAGAATAAAAGCAGTACAAGAGACCAAGATAGCAGTCAGTCCAGAATGGAGTGGGACATATTGATCTGGAAAAGGTAATCCAAGAAGATGGAGACAATAGAATACCTAATGAGCTTAAAATACATTAAGGGTATGTATATTTAGCAGAAGCTGAAGGTCAAATTAGGACTGATGCACAGAAACCTAAGCAAAAGTAAAATGAAGAAATTGATTTGATGTAAAGTACAAGACATACACAAGTAAAAAAAATCATGTATTTACTATAGAGCATGGCTGGGGATAGTTACATAAGCATAAGGACATAAGTACGAAATGTTGATATAAGCAAACATCATATGACTCTCCTGGAAAATGAAGGGAAGTAGACTATAATTCTGCAAGGGGGTAATGGGAAGAAAGTGAAAGGTACATTCCTGTTGTTCATAGTGACAAGTTAGTATATGATGCATAAAATGGAAAAATCAAGAGTTGACAGTGTAAGCATAATATTTAGATACAGGGTTAAGTGAAAAAAATAAATTGCTGAGAAACTGAAAGTGATTAGTTTGGGCAGTGGAAAACAGGCAGGAAAGGGAATGGAGAGTCACTCTAGACTTCTGTCTTTTACTATTTGCCTTGCAGAAGTATTTGACTTTTATTATTACCTTAGAGCTATTTGAGAAGACATTATTAATTTTTAATCTCCACTACTATTTTAGTGGTGTTGATTTCAGCTGAGTCTAAAGATTATTGACAATTATGGTATATGTCTGATGGAGTATATGGATTTACTGGATCCAGTCAGGGTTTTAGGTGAGGTATAAACTTTTACTTTTTTGAGTAAGGAAGAGTGGGGCAGAATGGGCAAGTGTCTTTGAGAAAGAAGAGATATAAGGCCAAACAGAAACAAAAAGCTGGTAAATCGGCCCAATTCAAAAGACTGTTTTTGAGCCTTTGTGGGCAGAAGCTGAAATTGTTGTTTTCCAGATGGCTTCCAAGTAGATGCTGCAATTCCCCCCTCCTCAGTGGCCCCAGGGAGCCAGAGTCATAGAACAGGGGAGAACACCAGTTTCTTTGCTTCCTTGCTGAGCCAACCACAGCAACACCTGAGGACTAGCAGCCCAGGGAGCGCTGAGGGGCATCACCTCTGGCAAGGATACTGGCATCCTTAGGTAGTACCAGTCAACAGTCATACCAGCCAATGGTGCCAGGGGGAGAAGAGAAGCTCCATATGGGGGCCAGGCTGGTAAGGAAGAACACTGCAAATATCACAGGAAGACTGGGACTGGAACATTGGTTTATAGGTACATATGAGGCACCCACTAAGTGCCCAAACTATATGGGGAGACTTCTTGAGGGGTTGGAGTTTCTGCCTAATCAGCAAAGCCAGAAATCTGAGTTATTACTATGAATGTGGCCCCATTTGGATCCAAAAGGTAGAAACATTTTGGTTTTATTTGCTGTATATTTTAGCAAACATTTGAAATAAAGCAAATCAATGTAGTTATAAGGAGAGTACAGATAAGAATGTGAGCCAAGTAATATTGTATTGTTATTAATTAATTAATTATTAACATTAATATTGAAAGTATAAACCAGAGGGCTCCTTCACTGAATTATGACATGCACACATATATACATATATACACCAACAAATAAGCAAAACATGTAATCAAATTAAATATCTAATTTAATAAAGTACCACATTAGATATTATCTAATTAAGTTAAATTTATACTGATTGCATTTTCTCTATTTCTCTTCTGGTGGCTCTCAGTCTCTTATGAGCATAAGAGTCACCTAGGTTTGTCGTTACAAGTAGCTATCCTGGCCCCACTCCCAGATAATCAGGGCTAGAAGTAGATCAGGAATCTGCATTTGCAGCAAGCTCTCCAGATGAAGCTACCATAGGAAATATGAAAATTAAGGACCTCTGGAACATTGCCATAAAATGTATCTCTAATCTCATTGCAAAAATCGTAATTTGCGGTTGTGGTTTGATCCCCATTATAACACTAGAAGCAGTCAAAAGATGTAGTAATTCTCAGGTGTAAAAGGAGAAAACCAAAAGCTGGGTGGGCTTACTGCCCAGGTTATATTTGATAAGTACTAGATCAGGTTTAAGATTCAGGATTTCTGATTCTTAGTGCAGTTGCTACTTCTTATGATACTGAACTTCATAAATTTCAGTTCCATCAGCACCTGGCACTGTAGCACTGTTAACTTGTTAACAAGAAGACAGCTCCAAACACCTGATATTAGTTGTATCTGAAGAATTGGGTCAAATTATACTTTATTTCCTAAGGAGCAACTAAAATCAAACAACAAATTTGCACTAACAGGCAAACTGCCATCACTTACAATATGCTTTCAGAAAAAGCCAAAGAAAACATATTTCTCTGATTTCCTGAGAGTATTTGGTACAGACCATTTCCTGAGAAAGAAAATGATGAAATTTAAAGTAAAAGAAAGATCTGGAGGTTATTTCAGGTTTCTTTTTCAGTATGAAATATATAAACATTTTTTTTCTTTTACAACTCAAGGAGTAATGATAATTCCATTCTAAATATGCATGTGAAAAGTTTACATCAGAAGAGCATAAAAAAGTCACATGAAAGTTCTCTTTAAAAAAATCTATTAGTAAGTCCTGGCAAAAAAGCTGGGGTTGTATTAAGGAAAATTGCTCATCACACTACAAAGAGTATTTGAAACCAAATTGCAGAGTATTTGCATAATAGTTCCCTTTTTTTTTGAGAAAGAAAAGATGAGCAAGACACTAATTGTAGGTTTTATTTTTTTTCATAAAGGAAATAGCAGATGGCTTTTTTGGGGGATAGAGAAAGAGATAAAGAAAAGAGAACGTGGATTCATTTAGAGTGAGGCGTGGGATGGAAAGGGAAGAAAATTCCAATATTTTAATAATGGAGTGTTGGATCTCAATAAATTGCTCTGTGTTGAAGTTAATAACGTCCCTTGTTACCTATCTCCGTGTGGGGCCTGTGAAAGCAATTTTGGAATCTTTGTTGCTGTCACGAGAAAATGTCACCGAAGGCCAATG